TTTTTTTTTTTTTTTTTTTTTTTTTTTTTTTTTTTTTTTTTTTTTTTTTTTTTTTTTTTTTCTTTTTTCTTTTTTCTTTTTTCCACTCCCAATCTGACCCTCGTGCTCTGTGTTTGCAGGGACACAGTGGTGGCAGAGTTACCCATCGAGGTGCCGGTGTCCCCCCAGGTACTGCAGGGTGTGTGGGTCCAGGACAGGGTGTTTGGGGCCAGGACAGGGTGTGTGGGGCCAGGACAGGGTGTTCATACCCCAGGGCCTCCCTTTGGGACTGCTGGGRAACCCAAGAGCTCGGGGTGCTCCTGCAGCACTGCCTCCCCTAAAAGCTTTCTCCAACGGGGTCAGTGCAATGTTTGGGGAGGGAGGGGGTTGCAGCACCTTTGTTCTGGCACCCCCAAGATTTTGGCTGGGTACAGTTGGATGCCTGCCCATCRCTCCAGGTGGATCTGCTCCCTCACTGAGCATTTTTCTCTCTCCCCCTCCCACCCTGTTCTCTGCAGCTGAGTCCGGGGAAGAGCGAGAAGTTCCGCTCCGAGATGCGGATCCGGCTGGGATCCCAGAGCRGCGAGAGCAAAGCCAAGAGCCCCCACCAAGTGTAAGGGGTCCTGCAGCTCCCTTGGGTGCCCCGGGGGGTCTGAGCCCCAGCCCTCCCTCCACCCTCCCCAGGAAAACKATGATTTCCATCGTTTTAACACTCCACTGCCACCCACTCATCTCTCACCCTGGGGATCACATCTCTTACCCCAGCTCATCCTCCCCTGGCTCAGGAACTTGCTGTACCTGGCTCAGAGTTGTCTTTTCCTGTCTGATAATGCCAATAGGGGCACTGGAAGAGCCCAGGATATGGCCGTGGGTGTACATCCCCCTTTCCCCTGCCCCCACTGCAGCCTGTGTGAACTCAAAATGCACCCAGAGGGRAAATAAAATCAGTTTTGGAGAGGGATGGGGTGAGGCTGTAGATCAGATACCCTCTGGGACTGACCAGGGATGGGAGGGGCCTGCAGCCTGACCTTGGGAGCTGGTTTATATTGCCCCCAATTTCTGCCCTTTCCAGGGTTTGGGAAATGCTGCCAGCAGAAATGAACCTTTCAGGAGCCCCACGGAAAGCGAGCTCTGCAGAGGAGGACCCTTTCCCAGAACCTGTGAAAGAGGAACCCATCTCTGACCAAAGCTCTTTGCTAAGAGAGATGAATGAGGCAATAGCAGCTCTGAGCAAACATCTGAAGGCACAGGCAGACACTCCCTGGCATGAAGCTGAGCCCCAAATGGGGCCAGAGGCAGCCACAGCCCATGGAACAACCCCTGGGGTCCTGCAGGAGACCCTCCCCAGCCACATCCATCATGAGCTGCAGGAGGGACCAGGCACAGCTGAGGTTCCTGCTCCGGGTGTGACACAGGCTGGTGGGTCCACGAGAGCTCAGGAGCCAGGGGCAGAGCAGGGAGAGAGCYTGGAGGAGGCACAGAGGGTGTTACTCCTGCAAGGAAAGGGTGCTGGTGTGGAGGAGATGGTGCTGAATGTGCCTGAGCATCTGGGAGAGAGCACAAAGGCAGGAGAGCAGGTGCTGATGGAGGTGGAGGGAGCAGGGTGGACGCAGGAAAAAACAGGTTGGGAAAAACCASAGCTCCTGGGAGAAGCTGAGGAAGTGGAGATAAACCAGGGAGGAGATTTGGMGGCAGGTCTGGGGCTGTGTGAGGCTGGGCAGGAAGGTGTAGCAGCGGGACAGTGCCTTGCTGTGGCAGAGCTCCAGCCGGCCACAGTTGGTGTTTTTGGAATTCCCGGGGAATGTGGGCCGGCCCCGGACACGGCTCTGCAGGAATGGGCTGACCCATCCTCGGGGCTCYCTGAGAAACTGCAAACTGAGCTGGGAAAGCACCTGGAGCCAGAGCCACCATGGTGGGGTGAGGCACAAGCGGCAGCAGCCCGTGGGGATGGTGTCCCCGAGGTGACAGTGGCTCCCGGCCCGGGGGTGCTGGAGCAGGACGGTGCCAGCGCGGAGGGGCAGCCCCGGGGACAGACTGCGGAATCCAAAGAGCTGGAATTGCTGCCAGCCCGGGCTGAGCGTGCAGGGAGCAGCAGAGCCGAGGGTGAGGAAGAGGAGGTGGAGGAAGCAGAGCCCGGGGAGGCAGAGCAGCAGCCGCAGGGTGAGTGTGCCAGGGGAGGGGCAGGGCAGGGAGGGAGCGCGGGCGCTCAGGAGCCGCTGCCACCCACCCATGGCCAGGCAGGGGCACGGGGAACCGGTGTGGGGCTGCTGGAGCTCCAGGGCAGCGACACCAACACGGAGCTGCTGGCACAGGGGGAGGCAGATCTGCAGGTCTGGAGCGAGCCTGCATCCCCAGGGACACAGCAGGGAGGGCGTGTGGATCCAGGAGTGCAACTGGAAACGAAGCATAAAACAGAGGGAGGGCTGGGAGAAGAGATGGGGGCTGCTGCAGTGCACAGTGAGGGTCCTTCCCCAGCAGAAACAACTGAGGGGTGCCCAGACCTGGGTGGGCTGTTCCCTGTGAAGTCTCAGACACTGGAACTGGTGGAGGCAGATCTGCAGCTGGGTGGGGGTGCCAGMACAGAAAYKCCCCGRGGWGGGGAGGGTGGAAGAGCTGTTCGGATTGAGGGGGAGGASGAAGAGGATGGGGCACAAGAGCGAGGTGAGCRTGGGCTGCCACAGGAGCYAGTGYCTCATCCTGAARGTGTSACCTCWGGCCAGGGAGAGGGGGCTGGGACAGGAGTACAACCACAGGAGGAGGCTGAGAGCCTGGACACTGCAGAGGACCAGAGCACTAATTCCAGTGTGCAGCTGAGTGCAGAGGGGGCTGAGCTCAAATCAGCCTCAGGAGAAAGCACAGAGGCAGAGCTGCAGCCCCTGAACCTGGGGACAGAGCAGGGAGGGAGTGTGGATCCAGATGTGCAGCCCCCGGATCAGGTGCATAAAGCAGAGTCGGTGGAAATAGAGGCAGAGGACTCCTGGAAAGGCACTCAGCTGTGTGGAGGTGCCAGCCTGGAAACTCCCCAGAGAGAGAGGGACCGTGCAGCTGTGCACCCCGGGGATGGGACTGAGGACTGGGAACAGGGACAGGATGAGCAGGGGCTGGGGCAGGAGACAGTGCCTGACCCGTCTGCAGTGACCATCAGACAGAGAAGGGGGACTGATGCAGAGGTGCAGCTGTGGCAGGAGGTCGCAGTCCTGGACACAGGGGAAGATCAGAGCAGTGGTGCTGATGTGCAGCTGGGTGCAGAGGGGGCTGAGCTCAAATCAGTCTCAGGAGAAAGCCTGGGATCTCAGTGGGTAGGGGAGGGTGGAACAGCCATTCAAATGAAGGACGAGGAGGATCATGGGGCACAAGAGCAAAGTGAGCATGGGCTGCCACATGAGCCAGCGTCTCATTCTGAAGGTGTGACCTCGGGCCAGGGAGAGGGGGCTGGTGCAGATCTGCAGCCAGGGGAAGAGGCTGAAAGCCTGGACAGTGCTGAGGAGCAGAGCACTGATGCCAGCGTGCAGCTGAGTGGAGAGAGGGGTGAGCTCATTCTGACCCAGGCAGGGAGCACACAGGCACATCTGCTGATCATGGGTGAGGCTGGTTCCTCAGGGACAGAGCAGGGAGGGGGACTGGAACCAGGAGTACATCCCCTGGATCAGGTGGATAAAGAAGAAGTTTTGGAAACAGAGGCAGAGGATGCCCAGGCAGATCTGCAGCTGTGTGGAGGTCTCAGCCCAGGGGCT